AGAGTTGTGTAAGCATAAAGTAAGATAATGTTTATAAAGTGCCTCGCAAACTTTAAAGCACTATATAAATTCTAGCTATTGTTATTATCCTAAAGATGAGGAAACTAAGGCATGGAGAGGTTAAGTGATTTGCCCAGGGTCATACAGTTAGTAAGTGTCCAAGACTGGATTTGAATTCAGGTCTTCTTGGCTCCAAATCCAGCACTTCACTATGCCACCTAACCAACCCTTTTTTCCACACCATCTAAAATAGTGCCTTGGACAAAGATAGTCATCAATATTTCATGAATGAATGTAAATAGCTCATCTTTAAAAGAATAAGCATCCAGGTGGGAGGAAGTGGTCAAGCCTACTCTGGACCTCCCACACCTAACAGCCTAGCACACGTACCCTTAGCTTTTAACTCCGGAAGGATTCAAGAAGTGGATTTCAAATGCCTTCAAGCAGCATGGAAGAGAATTGGAGCATTTCCCAATTTTTATTTCACGTGATAGACACTGCCTCCAACAAAGGGCAATACCATAGTCACAAATGTTATCATCAATGCCACTTCTTACTGTACAAAAGAAAGAACTGCTTAGGTCAGGAGGCCCTGAACCGTGCCCTTGACTTCTAAAGCGGGACCTCAGTAATATCCATCTAAGGACTAACATACTAAAACTACAAATGTGGTTCAGAAGCTGACATGTACATCTCCTTTCCATGCTTGTAATCATCTATTTGCACAAAGTTTGTGCATGATCTTTTCTCAAATCAATGGTAATTTAGGAGAGGAGAGTACTTGGAGAGGGTTTGGGTTCTGAGTTAAATTCTCAAGAATAGGGGTAAAGTGTTGGGATAGACAGCTGTATCTCTGAGGCCAATTCAGAAGGAACCCCTAGCCCTTATCTGGTGCCCACCATGGCAGCAAGTCTAGCCTTTTGCCACATTGCTCTAGCATTCCTTTCTTGGCATATATCCATTCCTCAAAAGAAATCTTGTTCCCAGTGACTCTGGTGCTAATCCTGATGAGCTGTTTAATGCTAGTAGTGAGATAACATAAGCAGAACTAACAGTAAAAGAACCAGACAATGGGATTCAGCCTGGCCCCGGAAGGTTTTCTCATACCAGTTTACCACCAGGGTTATTGATGGGGAGAAGACTGTCAGAACTGCAGTGTGGCTAAATCTCCAGGAGCAGCCTGGCATAGGAGCAGGAATGGCAGTCCCAGAGTGAGAGTCAGAAATTGTTTTTTTGTTGTTGTTGCTACTGTCTGTGAATGGATCATTTCAAGGAGACAAGATAAGTTACGGTAACTACTGCCTTAGATTGAAGGACAATAAATCTGAATTGCTAGCTAGCAATGACCTCTGCAAAGACAGAGGATGAAACAACTAGAAGGTCAATAGAGGGGATGGAGATGTGACTGAGCCCCTGCCTTCCTAAGTAGAAGTAATAGATTCAAGACAAAGTAGAGAGCATCATCCTCAAGGGAAACTGAGAAATCAAGGAGGTCAGAGGGAAGGCATAATCTCTGTTCACATTGGATTGATAAGATAAATTATGTTAATGTTAGAGCCTTAATTTTGGAATAATGGGATAGAAGTTGCTAACACATTCCTATAAATAAAGCAGAAATGGAAAGGGACCTGCTATTGAGAAATACTAGGGTATCTACCAATATTACATCGTCAGTATAATACTATATCAATCAATATAATACCATAATATCAATATTGAAGTATAATAATATAGTACTTCAAGGACTTATGCTTACTTAAAGGCAAGTAAAAATTGATATTGCTAAAGCATAGGTATGTCTATGTCAGTCCACGACTCAAGAAGTTCCACGGCTCCCTATTTTCCCTGGGATAAAATACAACAACCTCCGCAAGTAGATTGCAAACTATCTATGCCTTCACAGACAGTTTTCATGAGCTGTGAGGGCAGAAAAATTCAATGTTCATACGGACTATTTGTGCCCAATCTGTGGTAGAGCCTTCCAAGATCATATCGGTCTGATCACCCACAGCCAGAGACATAGTACTTTGATGCCGACATAGTGATGTCATTTAGGTCCTCTTCGAAAATGAAGGACAACAACCATTCAATTATTTTATCACATCTTGTTGATTCCACCTTCTAATCCATCTCTCACATCAATTTCCTCTCCACTCACATGGCCATCACCCTATTCAGTCTCTGATTACCTCTTAACTAGAGTATTGCAATAGTCTCTTAATTGGTCTCCCTATATCATCCTTTTCCTCTCCGAAATCCATCCTCTACATAGCTTCAAATTTGATATTGCCAAAGCACATATTTTATCATGTCAGTCTCTTAAGGGCTCCAGAAACTCCAGAGCCTTCCTTCTACTTCTAGGATAAAATTTAAACTCCTTTAATGGCAATTAAAACTCTTCAAAAAACTCAGTCCAGCCTGCCTTTCCAAGATCATTGTATGTTACCTCCCCTTCCACACTCTATATTCCAGCCAAACTAACCTACTTCCTGTTCCCCAAGTATAACATCCTACCTCCACCTCTATACCTTTGCATGGGCTCTCCCTTACTTGGAGTTTTCTCCTTCTCCAGTAGTGCTTCATAGAATCCTTGGCTTTCTCTAAGCTTCATCTCAAGGTCTTCCTCCTATATGAGCCCTACCCTGATCCCCACAACCTCCCCCTTCCCAGTTGCTCATATATCTCCTCCTAGAAATTATCTTGTATATGTTTTGAGTATATTCTGTATTTATTTTGGGAGGTGTGTGTTGTTTCCTCCTAATAGGATGCAAGCTCCTTAAGAGTCAGAATTGCTTCATTTTTGTCTTGTATCCCTGATACCTGGGAGAGTATCTAGCACATAGTAGACATCTAATAAATGTATATTGAATGAATGAATGTTAAGTACATTAGAAAAGAACTATGTTTCAAATCAAGAGAGCTTGGTTTCAGGTTCCAGCTTCAATGCTTGGAAGGAGGAGGAGAAAGGAGAAGAATCAAGTCTTTTTCCAGCCATTCTTTTGAGACAGCATTTTATGCATTTTCAGTTAAGTGGAAAATAACAGTGAAGCAATGAAGGCCATCCACTGAGAGAGGCGTATTCTAGACCAGGGATCTTCTTGTTTCCCATAGCCATACTTTAACCATGTCCATGTGATGCCAAAAATTCAACCCACTTGGTTATTTGGTATTTTATATCATGTAGGGCAGTGTTGTCAACCTCAAATAGAAATGGAGACCACTAAACCACACAAAGGATCCCTGAAGGATACATATTGCCTTAGAAAACCACATGTTAGCATTATCTATGTTCTATTATATTTTTATTTATTTTGTTAAATATTTCCCAGTTACATTTTAATCAGGTTCAGGTTTGTACATGAGAGTGTTGTTGGCCACAAATAAGCAGTTATCTCATAGAATTGTTTATTTTTCTCTCACATGCTAGGTTTTCCCATAGATACATCTTCAATAGAACTAACTCATTTTTTACTTGTCCAGATGGTTTGGAGGCAAGATCATTTTCAGGTTCATCTGAGTGACAAAAATTTAGTACGACAAGCATATGGATCATATTCAATAAGATCTTTTATATTAAGTGATTTCTTTTTAGATTGTGGATTGGATTCACAGACAACATCCAAACTGAGACCTAGTGGATCCTATCTGCTCTTAGTCTGTCTTACTTTAAAAATTCAAATTGCATTTTATAGAGCATTGTATTTCTACACAGTACTATATACTTTAAGATCTTTTCTTTGAAAAGAGGGAAGTTCATTTAAAATTATACTTTTCCATAATACTGAGAGAAATGCTAGTTGCAGATCATCAGAAATAATCATCAGTAATAAGAAAATACATGGCTAACTTTGCAGCATGTGTGTAATAAACTTTTTTCTTTCTAATTCCTAAAACATTATTATTAGTAATAAAGATTCTTGTGATTACTGAGAAAATCATTTTCCACAGCACCCAAGAAACTACTACATATCCCTAGGGTGTTTTGCCATATTCTGTCAGAAAAAAGGTTAGTACATCAAAATAAAATCTATTTGTCATTCCAACTAAATTCATAGCCACAGTGGTAAATATGCTCAAGCCATAATTGTTAAGTAGGACTAGATCAGAAAAGCCCAAGACTCTGAGACCAGACAAAGCTATTGGGCTGGGTCTGAGACAGGGAAATCTATTAGCTAGCAAGCAAAGAAAAATTTCAGGCCAGAGGGCATATGATTTTGATGGTATGATGTTGAAGGAAACAATGAAAGATCATGCATGAAGACTCCATTAGGCTGGCAGCTAGTCAGTATCTGAAACATCTGGTGGCAAGGAATAGGAAATTAAATTTTGGTAATAATATAGGTAAGTTCGGTAGGACTCCAATGCCCAGTGGGCCTGGAAGAATAAGACATGATCTTAGTCTCAATCTATCCCCCTTTAGGGGCAGGTATGTGGCAGAGTAGATAGAGCACTGAGCCTGGAGTCAAGAGGACCTGAGTTCAAATCTGACCCCAGACACTTATTAGCTGTGTGACCCTGGGACTGAAAAACTAGAAGACTGCAGAGATAGGCAGGATGCCTATTATTATAGGTAGCTGGGGAAAAGGAGAAACCTAAATAAAATAATAACCTTTGGGAGATCAAAGGAGAGTCACATTTACCCTCTTACCTAATCATTCTTGGTGAATCTAATTGTTCTTGAATCATCCTTGGTGGTGGTTGTGGCCAGCTTTGGAGGGGGGCAGGGGTGAGGGTGAGAGAGTTCAGGCCAAAGTTTTCCCATGTTACTTTCTGTTCTCAATCCCCTGCCTAAGGAGATGATAAACTCACTATGTTGGGTTCCTATGTCCATCTCCAAAGGGGGATACAAGTGTTTTGTGCTGATTGAGAACTTCTGATTATGAAGGCAAGTACATCAGAGTAGTGGGGCGGCTAGGTCCATCCTCTTGACCTCAGGGAGAACTAGAGACTTTGATTTGAAGACCAGTAGCCAATTCAGGAGCCCAGAAGATCCTGTGTAGTCACTGGCATGGCTCCATCAGCTTGCAGCATTTCTGAAACTTGCTGCAGAGAGCAGCAAGCTCTTCATTTTTCTGGCACTTACTCACACATCTCCCCTGGTATTTCTGACATTTCTCATCAAGGAATCCAGCCCCAGCTATATAAGTGAAGGAATCAGAAGAATTATTTCCATAAGAAAACATTGCCAGTTTTCAGATATAATTCCAGTGATGAGCTGGTCACAATGCCTGAATAATTGTTGCCAGCTCAGCCCTGACCTTAACGAGAGGAGAGCTAGTCAGTACTATCTCCCTGATGTGATTTCTTCTATGTTGAGAGGTGTACAGAGAATACACTTAGGCCTGAAGACTATCAGATAGGGACACTAGATATGGCATCTTCAAAGCAAACAGCTGTCTTCTTCTAAAGATTCACCTGGAGATTCATCTGGTTCCCCCATCCCTAGAGTGCATACTCCTGGAAAATCTGTCTCATGGAATCCTTGGTTTCTTTCAAAGCTCAAGCACCACCTTTTACATGAATCTTTTCCTGACCCCCATCCTCTTTCCTAATTGTTAGTATCCTCTCTCCCAACATTCTCTTGTATTCATTTTACATATATTTTATGTACATATCATGCATGTCCACATTATCTCCTCTGTTAGAATATAAGCTCTTTGAGGATAGGGTTATTTTGCTTTTGACTAGATCTTTCACAGTTAGCATAGTGCCTGGCACATAGTGGGTATTTAATAAATGCTAAATCCCACTTTATAGCCTCTAGGAATATGAAATAGCCTATTCTGTAAATATAGAAGTTCTAGGGTTTCGTTATAGCTTTCAGATTGTATCACCAGGGCTAAGATTGACTTCTGAAATTCAGGGAGAGATGGGGAGGTAATTCACAGAATATTCTCCTGTATAAGTTACAAGCAATAGATAAAGGTAGAATATATTTATTGACCAAGGGTAGACCCTGGGCCTACTCCCTTCGAACTCCTAGGATGGATATAAAGATATGCTTTCTCTCTCGTCATTATTCCTCTCTTTTCTACTTCCTCTTCCTTTTGTCTTATATCTCCCTGCTAGGTCATCTCTTTCTTACTACCTATTAATAATTGAGCCTTTAATAGGTTTATAAGCCACCACCTCTTTCCCAGCTCATATCAAGAGGTATAAAAGAAGAGTTTGGGGAGCAGAGACAATACTTCCAATACCCTACCTATGTGGCAAGTCTTATTCACAAAAATCATAATTGTGTCACATAATATGTCTCAAAGCACAGATCTCCAGGAGAACACATGCCATGATTTCTTCTATTGACAGCTGTCCCTCTGACTCCAGGGGCCTCTAGTCATTCAGGATTTTGTACCAATAGAAGTGCCCTTTCTCACAAGAGAATAACTTGGAATTTCTCCCAATATGTATTTGACCTATTCCCACAGAAATACCCATTTTACCTGAGTCAGCTTGAGCCAAAAAGAAGAAAAGAGCAAAGAGAAAGGACAGGGTCCCCATGGCAGAAATCACCAGAAGATCAGTAGAGATCAGAGCACTCCATGAGACCAAGCACTCTTGTTTATAGTTCTTTCTAAGCCAGGAAGTCATTTTGATCAACGAAGCTTGTCAGAGATAAAAACTCTTCCAGGGTCTACTGAACCATGTCACCTTTGAGCCATCACCTTTGCTATTGCTGTCTGTGGGTGTCATTCAGGACACTGGTCTGGAGCCCTTCCTTTTCTCTAACTCTGAAACAGAGAGAGTGGCTTTGCTCCTTTAATTGGATACCAAGAGTGGAGGCATAGCATCTCCTTAGAGGCAAAAAAATAAAATGTAACAGCCTGTGAAATTATAATGACCAAGCTTAAGATGAGAAAATGCAGTTCCCTTATTTGCCAAAGTGAGGAGGTATGGATGTAAAATATTAAACATCTCATCTCTCAAATGATGTGTTCCTAATATTGAGCTACTTTTTTTTCTCTATCCTTTTTATTTTGTGTTACACATATAGGAGAACTGGTCTTCAACCAGTCTCTGAGTCCAGAAAGTCCAGAATGTAATCACAGAGTAAAAGGCAGATAACAAGCTGTTGAACCAAAGTATAAAGGTTAAGTCAGACTCATAATCTCTTTTCAAAGTGTGAAAAAGTATTTCCTTCACTGGAAATTGTAAGAAGAATCTCTGGGATATTGCCTCTAACTTGCCTTTACACTCTCAGGTTGGGACCTTAGAGGATGATTACTACTTTCTTTTTTTTATTTTTTTATTAATTTATTTTGATTTATCAACAATCACTTCAATAAGTTTTTTTTTTTTAGGCAATTGGGGTTAAGTGACTTGCCCAGGGTCACATAGCTAGTAAGTGTCAAGTGTGTGGTCTGAGGCCAGATTTGAACTCAGGTCCTCCTGACTTCAGGGCTGGTGCTCTATCCACTGCGCCACCTAGCTGCCCTCCATAAGCTTTTGAATTTTAAATTTTCTCCCCCTCCACCTCCCTCCCTCCCCCCAAGACAGCACACAATCTGATATGGGCTATACACATAGATTCCTATTAAACATATTTTCACATTGGTCATGTTGTAAGGAAGAGTTAGAACCAATAGGAGGAACCACAAGAAAGAGGAAACAAAACAAAACAGAAAAAAAAAATAGCAAATGGTATGCTTCAATATGCATTCAAATTCCATAGTTCTTTCTTTGGATGTGGATAGCATTTTCCATCATGAAACCTTTGGAGATGTCTTAGATCCTTGCATTGCTGAGAAGGGCTGTCTATTAAAGTTAGTCATCACACAACATGGCTGTTACTGTGTACAGCGTTCTCCTGGTTCTGCTCACTTCACTCAGCATCACTCCATATAAGTCTTTCCAGGTTTTTTTGAAGTCGGCCTGTTCATCATTTCTTACAGCACAATAGTATCCCATTACATTTATATACCACAACTTGTTCAGTCATTCCCCAGTTGATCACAAAAAGATCATTCACCACAAAAAGAGCTGCTATAAATATTTTTGTTCATGTGGGTCCTTTTCTCATTTGTGTGATGTCTTTGGGATACAGCCCTAGAAGTGCTATTGCTGGGTCAAAAGGTATGCACGTTTTTGTAGCTCTTTGGGCATAGTTCCAAATTGCTCTCCAAAATGGTTGGATCATTTCACAACTCCACCAACAATGCATTAGTGTTCCAATTTTCCCATATCTTCTCCAACATTTATCGTTTTCCTGTTTTGTCATGTTGGCCAATCTGATAGGTATGATATGGTACCTCAGATTTTTGATTTTGCATCTCTCTAATCACTAGTGACTTAGAGCATTTTTTCATATGACTATAGATGGCTTTAATTTATGCATCTGAGAACTGGCTGTTCATATCCTTTGACCATTTGTCAATTGAGGAATGACTTGTATTCTTATAAATTTGACTTAATTCTGTATATATTTTGGAAATGAGGACTTTATCAGAGACACTAGTTGCAAAAATTCTTTCTTATTTTTCTACTTCCCTCCTAATCTTGTTTGCATTGGCTTTGTTTGTGCCAAAAATTTTCCATTTAATACAATAAAAATTCTCCATTTTGCATTTCATAATGTTCTCTATCTCCTGTTTGGTCATGAATTCTTCTGTTCTCCATAAATCTGACAGGTAAACTATTCCTTGCTCTCCCAGTTTGTTTATAGTATCAGCCTTTACATCTAAATCATGAACACATTTTGACTTTATTTTAGTAGATGCTTACTACTTTCAAGGGATTAAGATGTATTTCTACAGATACATACTCCTAAAGCTAAAATGAACAAACCCCTGCTAGTGAACTTCCTCTTAACAGTTACCCAATAGGAAAAAAAAAGCACCTCAAAATAAAAGCATTTACTAAAAGGGTATAATAAAAACAGTTTCTCCTAAACACCTCCAACCACTTAAACTTTGAAACATTTTCCAACAAATACACACAGAATCCATGAGAAAAGTGGACATTGAGTACAATGGTAATAAAGCACACATGTAAGGAACATGTGGCCAAAACAATTCATACTTCTGATACCAGAAGGCCTTGTTATCTTTTTTTCTCGCAAAGGAGTACTCACGCTGCTCAGCTCCCAGATTATTTTCCTCTCCCAAACTCAATTTTCAAATGCCAATTAGCTATTCCTTGAATGCGCAGTTGACTTTCTTCTCTGCTGCCAGAGGTCACACTCCTTAAAACTACCATTAGATTAGTAACTAGATTTAGTAATTAAGAGATCATTGGTAACTTTGGTGAGAGAGATTTTAATTGAATGAGGACGACAGAATCCAAACTTTAGAGAGTAAAGAAGATAATAGGAAGAAAGGAAGGGAGGCACTGATTGTAAGAAGGCTTTCTCTAAGAGCATATACACAAAACAGAGAAGACATGTGGGACAACAACTATCAGGAATGGACAGATCAAGTGAGAATTTTTTGAGAATGTGGGAGATACAGGCATGTTTGTAGATAGTAGAGGAGCAGACATTATATAGAGAGAAATTGAAGATAAGAGAGTGGGGATGATAGAGGTAGTAATCTTCTGGAGAAAACAGGGTAGAATTTTATCACTTATCCATGCAGAGGGGTTTGCTTTGGCAAGAAGAGGGACTGCCACTTCTTGTGAGAAGGAGTAAAGCAGGAACAGTGCAGAAGGTGTCTGGGTTATGTAAATTGAGGAGAAGGGGAGAAAAAGGGAGTTCTCAGAAGACAACTTAAATTTCTTCAGTGATGTGAAACAAGGCTCTCCGCTGAGAGTATGGAAGGAGGGAGAACTATGTGAGGATTTGAGGAAGGATGAAAAAGTTTGAAAAAGCTGCTATGGTGGTGCTATCAATCAGGGATGTGTAAAGGGATTTCTTGGCTTCAGTGGGGGCCCAGTTGAGGTTATGTAACATAAATTGGAAGGGGATCCAGACATCACAGTTTGTTATTTTCTCCAACTTTGCTTAGCAAAAGGTAAGTGGGAGAGAAAGCAGAGGATGTTGAAGTCCCCTAGTATGGTCTGTGAGCTAGGCACTGAACTTATCAAGGAAAGGTGAGTGATCTGGAGATTTTGCTAAACAGCTACCAGAATTTTTGTTGGCTGGTAGATATGGATTGAATGAACCTCAAAAGAGGAAAGGTTACTGAGTGATTATGGTACAGGCACTGGTTGGAAGTAGCAATGAAGAGTAGGGTCTCCAACATGACCAGTGGCAGGGGAGGGGAAAGTGAGTGAAATTACAACCAGTGCTGGAATGGGTGACCAAGGAGGTTGTACTATCAGGAAGGACACAGGTTTCTGTGAGAAACAGAAGCTAGATGGGAAAGGAAAAGATTTGACATGAAAGCAGATTTGTTACCTATGGAGCAAGCATTACAGAGAACATAGGAAAAAGAATGGTAGCTTTAGAATGGAATGTTTATGGGGAAAGGTTAAGAGGATGGGAGTAAGAGAGCAGCCATCAGGCAA